TGAGAGATAGAAGAGATTGGGAGAGGGAGGGAGAGAGAGAGAGAGAGAGAGAGAGAGAGAGAGAATACCACTGTGCAGATGGTGCAGACGATGTAATGGTACCCTTCTTACAGATACTTACCAAGTACCACTGCTGATTCCACATTGGATCATTGAAGAGATGTAGCACTGAGTCTCTTAGGGCTGAGCGTTTGCTTCTCTTTTTTTCATACTGTTGCTCAGCCCATATCACCTATAAAGATTTTCAACACAAGAAAATCAAAAGCCAAGAAACTCTCTATGTGCCATCGTTTCCTTCTCTCTAATCATGGTACACTTGCCATCAGAACTCAGGTGGCTCCACAATATTATTGTTTGACCACAGATCAAACTGGCAGCTGAATGAGAAGAAGGGATTGCCCAGGGGGAAGATGAACATTTTCTCTATTACAGTAAACCGTATCATTAGGGGGAGGAGGAGCAGCCAGTGCAGTGTTGATTCCCTCACATTATTTACACTGTGGTTTCAGTGGAAGTAAAAGTTGAGCCTGCTTTCATCAGAAAATGGGCCATTGTATCCATTTTTATACTGAAGATCCAAGGCCCTATAGCTGAAAATTTGTTTTCATGGAATAAGTCAACAAGCTAAGAGACCACAGAGACTGCTGGTATGGTGTTCGAATGGCTTAATTTCTCTTTCTTTACATGAAAATGGTAGAAATTGCCAATAATACACCAGCCAAGAGTGGTGCTATGTCTTTGAAAATTCAAAACTGCAGCTCCTCTGTGACTTAGCTTCCTGCTGCAGAGTATTTAATATGAGGAACATATCCGGGGTGATGAATGAGCATTACTGACCCAGGCACATTTGCCATCGATTCAGCCTCATGTATTATGCAAAGAGATCTGACAACATGAAAATTACCTGGCCTACATTTATGGCATAATCCTATTAGACTGGAGGCCCTGTGAGAGTGAGGGATTCCTTTATAGTTAGAACCGTTATGAAACAATGTTATGCTCTTATTTTGCTGGGCAGCACGACTACTTTCTACCTAAGATGTAGGTTTTTTGTTGTTATTGTTGTCGTTGTATACACGATAAGGGTTCAGGGCAGGGACAAGAAATGCTATAGATGTGACCATCTCCATGAGTCATACCCAAAATTAGAAATCAGAAAAATAATTTGTAGCTGAAGGATCAAAACTATCCACTAAGACTGTCATGAATTTCCAATTAGAAAATATAATGCAAACCCATTATAAACACTGGGAGGGACTTGAGAGCTAGCAATTAGTCACTATAATTCATTTTTAAAGTGCTGGTATTTTTAAGCTTAATTGTTTTGGCTTAAAATACCTCAATACTAGGAATATACTGCCTCTCATATAAGTTGGTCTTTGGAAACTGGCTGCTAGGGAGCTAATCTTTGTGGGAGAGGGTCATTTAGAGTTGGAGATTTCATTAGCAGGCTTAGGAAGATAGGCTATTGCTCCATTTCACAGGGCTGATTTGCAAGAATATTATCCCCTATGAAAAAAACAATAAAATGAAAATTGAGAGCAATTTTTTTAAATGGAATATAAAAAGAGACCGTCTGCCATCTGATCAGATAAACATCCAATTGTAGGAAACAGTGTTATGATTAACATCATTAATTCAAAATTGCATACTAATATCTGAAAGAGCAGACCAAATGGAATAGAGAAAATTGATGGTATTTTCTAATTATGTATAGAATAGGCATCATGTACCTGATCAAAAATAATACTTTTCAGCTGGAAATCACATTAAAAATAATCTAGTCCTACCTTCCACCAAAGCTTCAATGACTCCAGTGTTTTTCCTAAAATAAAATTATTTGGGGGCTGAATTTTCATATGGTTACATAAACTGATTTTTATGAACCAACCTCTGAAGGTAAATGCTTAGCTTTTAAAATAATGTCACAGGATTCCCCTTAAAATTGACTATCAAAGAGATAACCAAAGAGCAGAACTGGGCTACCTGTTCATTTTCATGAGATACCTTGAGTAAAGAGAATATTTGGGTACATTATACTCTGTCCAACTTCTCCTATACAGATGACAAGGAGGTCAGGTGTGGCTTCCTTATACATTAATATTGGGCACTCATTTAGTCAGAGAAGGAAATGTCTTCCTTGTCTTGCCCAAGGAATGAGGGTAGCCAGAGTGCTGGAAGGTGTCCTGCTTCTCAGAGACTAAATACAAGAAGCCATCTGCCTTTGTTTGAGTAAAGGAAATATCTCACTGGATAAGAAAAGTTTCAAAACAAGCTTCATGGCCTCTGACTTGGAGTCCTACTCGTAGACACCTAACTGGGCCCCAAGAGCTCAGGAGAGCACAGGAGCTATGGGCTCCCTGTCCATGGTTCTGATACATCAACGTTTGTCAGCGTGGTCGGTTCACATACACGTGAACCCTGTCCACTTCCCAGGCATTTGCTATCCTCAATTTGCCTTTTTCTCAATTTTAAAGTTTTAGCAGTTGGAGAGCAAGTAAAACAGTACATTATTTCAGAGACTTCATGAATTCCGTGAATTTTCAATTGTTATATCACGTTTTTGTCACTTCTTCCCCACCCTTTGAGAAGTTGATAAGATGGTTTGTATTCCTGACTTTGATAATACAGTTTGTCCCAGGCAACAGAAACCATGTATACAAATATTACTCAAACCTGGATAAATTTCTCCCAGTATAACATAGTCTTGAGACAAGGCAACAATATATGCTTCTACACTCCTAATGTAGTCAACATATTCTTTTAATGTATTTACTGACTTTGAATAGACTTTGAAATCAGTGGGTATATTAAGTATATATCCAAGTTGTCTCCACTCTATTTGCCTATATTCACTCTAGACATTTCCTGCTTTTGTGTAATTATGGATTGGTATACAAACTAGGATGAAAAGAGATCAAATGGTTTGAATGAAACAGTACTTTTGGAAACATTTACCTCATAAAGACATGAATTTAGAACTCTCTCATAAATACTAACATATTTCTGGTGGTGTAAATGGCAGGATGTTTTTCAGTTACATTGAAATGTTACCAAAAGCAAAGTCATATTTACTTGGCACCCTACACTGGTATTGAAGTGCTTAGTACATAACAAAAATGTAAGAAAAGATCACTGAAGCCAGGAATGGTGGTTCATGCTTGAAAATCCCAGCACACTGGGAGGGGGAGGCAAGAGAATTCCAAGTTCAAGCCCTGTGTAGGCAGCTTAACAACTTAGCAAGACCCAGAGAGTAATATGGTTTGAGGATGTAGCTTAATGTGAATCCTGTATTCAATCCCCAGTACTCCCCCACAAAAAAGATTATTGATTTTATTGTCAAAATATTCATGAGTGCTACCACCTAACTTTAAATATCCAAAATCAAACCATGATGGACATACATATATAATATATTATATAATCAATTTGTTTGTATATATATATATATATAGTTAATTTTCATTAACTATTCAATCCAATCTTGTTATTATATATGCAGTTATAACCATATGGAAAGAAACTAGATACATTCAACAATGATGATTACAATAAAAAGTATCATATTTGTGAAATACTTTTGTTTCTTTTAGTTATCAGAGAAAGCAAATATGTCAGGGTAGAAACAACACTTACACGATCATCATCAGATAATCTCTTAGTGATATGAGGGGCACTTCTCCGAGACCTTCGGGGATGGTTTTTATGTTTAAATAAATAGTAATTTTCAAGTGATCCAATCTGTAAAAAAAATTAAAAAAAATTCACTTTGTCAAATAAGTATAAATGGACTAGTTAAAAACCAACTAACATGGAGACAGCTAACTTTTATTTAGCCCATTCTTGTCTCCTTGAAGTTAGCAGGAAGGTCCTGCTAGTGGTCTTGAGATGGCCCTCAGAATATTATTACTTCTGTTTACAATGTACTTGGAGACTGGTGATGCTTCTGTTTTGCACATTTTAACAGAACTGGCTTGGTTATTCTGTATGTGGAAATAATATATAGGTAGACATTTCTCAAGAAAATCCCATTTAATTGAAAGTATCCTGCCAGTTATTTTTTCAAAGCAAGCAAGTCTCTCTTTTTTTACTATCAGTGACCAGTATCACACCAAGATTAAAAAAAAAGACATGGGACTGGAGATTTAGCTCAGTGGTTCCGCCACCAGCCTCGCAAGTCCTCACAGGGACTTGAGTTTGATCCCCGGTACTAGGGGGAAAAAAAAATAAGACATTGTTGGTATGAAATGTAACCACTGAATCTATGGTGATAAGTATTATCAGCCATTAGTGATGATCTCTTGATTTTCCACTAGTTTAACGCTTTCAAGAATAAGCACGCCAAATTTGGGCAGGTGTTCCATCATAGTGTGTATATACATCTCTGGGTATCAGTAATTTTGGTCCATTCGGAGCGATATTCATTATTTTTAAGCTAGTTTCCATTTGCACAAAATAGTACTAAATTTGAAGCTACCAAATTTTCTAGATGCCCTGCATTTTCAAAATTAAGAAACAACTAATGACACTTCACTTCAGAAGAAACACGTTCTTTTAAATTGAGGGTTATCACCAACTAGAAAAATTTTAATAGAGATGCTTAGGTTCAGCTCTGAGACTAAACCTTAGGCAATGGATCTCTTTGTTATAAGCTGTGTCCAGATTTGGAGAGAGAGATCAGAAGCCACAGGAAAAGATCACTGGTGTCCAGCTCTGTTTGTTCTGTCAACTGATTTTGCTGCTTTTCTCTACGTTAATCTTTCTTTTATCCTGAGGCCATAATATAAAGATATCATTGCAAATTATGTGCAAATATAGGTGCCCCCCATTTAAAAATGATTCTTGTCACTAGCCATTCATACCACAAGGTTCCTATCAAAAACTCTGATTTACTATTTTTTCTTTACTTTTTGAATTTATAATTTATTCTCTTGGAAAGTAATTCCCATATTGAGTGGTCCAAGTTTGGATGTGTGTTTGAGGCTAATAGGTGACACAAAGAGAGATTTATTTTTTATTTTCTCTTGCAATTCCCTGCTACACATTTTCCCGTGATATTTAGCCTTTCAGCTGCTGCCCAGTGAATACAGGATTAAATCCTGTTTTTCCCCTCATAGGACACACAAGATTTCCACGGTGCCCAAGTATGTACCAATACATTTCCATCTGCTACTCACCTTTTTGGTCCCCCCAAATTCCCAACATTTGTGTGCTGTGACCAGACTTAGTGCTAAGCTCTTCGGATCTCCTTGTTTTCCCCGCAAGCTATTTTCTGTGCCTGGAATGCGTCTTCCAATCTCATCCTGTTCTCCTGGCAACCTTTGACTCTTCGTCCTAAACCCTGTGCCAACGTTACTCCTTCTCGGTCTTTCACGCCTCCCAAATTCCCTTGTACCTTCCTTCCTTCGGTCAAGAAATACAGAACTGAGACTCCCAAGCACAGCTTTTATTACCCAAATTGCATTCATTTGCAACGATTTGTTTCTCAGCTAATCTCCCCTAGATTGTGGATTCCTGATGAGCATTTCTTTTCCTCCTTTTATTCCTCAACCCCTAACACAAGCAAAGGGCTAGGCAAATAAAGTAAGAAGTCAGTCAGCTGCTAGGACGCTGGAAAGTCGATTTAGGTATTGACTTTCCTGCCTGGCATTTCAAAGACAGTTTGGCTCACAGAGTTGAAGAGTGAAGCCTCTATCCAGAGAAGGCGTATTCCCCAGCGGATTCGATCTATGGAATCGCCAACGCCCACGCTGATTACTCATCCATGACTTCAACTGCGTCTCAATCACCGCCTCCAGGGGGGGAAAACGCGCCAAAATGTTTTACAACTCCCTCCACCCCCGCTGCGAAACTGACCAACTTCCAGGGCTCGGGTGAGGGCTGAATCGAGGTAAAGGAAAAATCTAGATTAGAAGCCACCTCCCCTCCCCCGCCGCCGGTCTTGGAATCGCTCAGCCTAGCAGGCTCCCTCTCCGCCCCTTCGCCCCTCCGCCCCAGCTAGCGGTTAATCCAGCCCCCACTTGGACAAGCAGCACTGTCCCTCTCAAGCTGCAACTCCCAGGGAGACGATTACGCACTTGAATGAGCCACACAAAAGGAACAGACCCTGTGCCAACAGTTAGTTCGGCCACTGGACCCTGCGGGGGCCGAGCAAAGTTGCGAAGCTTGGACTTTACAAGTTCCCAGTGAAAATGGGCTACCGGGAAAGGCGCGGAGACCCTCCGGCCTGCTTCAGGCACTTTGTCTCCCTCCAGCTTCCCAGGGCACTCAGGTGCCTCCCGCCACAACCTCCGAGGCGCGCGTCCCGGCCACGGGCGCTCTTCCCACACTCTGGGCGCGCCCCCC